TCCCCCTTCATCCTTCCCCCTTCATCCTTCCCCCTTCATCCTTCCCCCTTCATCCTTCCCCCTTCATCCTTCCCCCTTCATCCTTCCCCCTTCATCCTTCCCCCTTCATCCTTCCCCCTTCATCCTTCCCCCTTCATCCTTCCCCCTTCATCCTTCCCCCTTCATCCTTCCCCCTTCATCCTTCCCCCTTCATCCTTCCCCCTTCATCCTTCCCCCTTCATCCTTCCCCCTTCATCCTTCCCCCTTCATCCTTCCCCCTTCATCCTTCCCCCTTCATCCTTCCCCCTTCATCCTTCCCCCTTCATCCTTCCCCCTTCATCCTTCCCCCTTCATCCTTCCCCCTTCATCCTTCCCCCTTCATCCTTCCCCCTTCATCCTTCCCCCTTCATCCTTCCCCCTTCATCCTTCCCCCTTCATCCTTCCCCCTTCATCCTTCCCCCTTCATCCTTCCCCCTTCATCCTTCCCCCTTCATCCTTCCCCCTTCATCCTTCCCCCTTCATCCTTCCCCCTTCATCCTTCCCCCTTCATCCTTCCCCCTTCATCCTTCCCCCTTCATCCTTCCCCCTTCATCCTTCCCCCTTCATCCTTCCCCCTTCATCCTTCCCCCTTCATCCTTCCCCCTTCATCCTTCCCCCTTCATCCTTCCCCCTTCATCCTTCCCCCTTCATCCTTCCCCCTTCATCCTTCCCCCTTCATCCTTCCCCCTTCATCCTTCCCCCTTCATCCTTCCCCCTTCATCCTTCCCCCTTCATCCTTCCCCCTTCATCCTTCCCCCTTCATCCTTCCCCCTTCATCCTTCCCCCTTCATCCTTCCCCCTTCATCCTTCCCCCTTCATCCTTCCCCCTTCATCCTTCCCCCTTCATCCTTCCCCCTTCATCCTTCCCCCTTCATCCTTCCCCCTTCATCCTTCCCCCTTCATCCTTCCCCCTTCATCCTTCCCCCTTCATCCTTCCCCCTTCATCCTTCCCCCTTCATCCTTCCCCCTTCATCCTTCCCCCTTCATCCTTCCCCCTTCATCCTTCCCCCTTCATCCTTCCCCCTTCATCCTTCCCCCTTCATCCTTCCCCCTTCATCCTTCCCCCTTCATCCTTCCCCCTTCATCCTTCCCCCTTCATCCTTCCCCCTTCATCCTTCCCCCTTCATCCTTCCCCCTTCATCCTTCCCCCTTCATCCTTCCCCCTTCATCCTTCCCCCTTCATCCTTCCCCCTTCATCCTTCCCCCTTCATCCTTCCCCCTTCATCCTTCCCCCTTCATCCTTCCCCCTTCATCCTTCCCCCTTCATCCTTCCCCCTTCATCCTTCCCCCTTCATCCTTCCCCCTTCATCCTTCCCCCTTCATCCTTCCCCCTTCATCCTTCCCCCTTCATCCTTCCCCCTTCATCCTTCCCCCTTCATCCTTCCCCCTTCATCCTTCCCCCTTCATCCTTCCCCCTTCATCCTTCCCCCTTCATCCTTCCCCCTTCATCCTTCCCCCTTCATCCTTCCCCCTTCATCCTTCCCCCTTCATCCTTCCCCCTTCATCCTTCCCCCTTCATCCTTCCCCCTTCATCCTTCCCCCTTCATCCTTCCCCCTTCATCCTTCCCCCTTCATCCTTCCCCCTTCATCCTTCCCCCTTCATCCTTCCCCCTTCATCCTTCCCCCTTCATCCTTCCCCCTTCATCCTTCCCCCTTCATCCTTCCCCCTTCATCCTTCCCCCTTCATCCTTCCCCCTTCATCCTTCCCCCTTCATCCTTCCCCCTTCATCCTTCCCCCTTCATCCTTCCCCCTTCATCCTTCCCCCTTCATCCTTCCCCCTTCATCCTTCCCCCTTCATCCTTCCCCCTTCATCCTTCCCCCTTCATCCTTCCCCCTTCATCCTTCCCCCTTCATCCTTCCCCCTTCATCCTTCCCCCTTCATCCTTCCCCCTTCATCCTTCCCCCTTCATCCTTCCCCCTTCATCCTTCCCCCTTCATCCTTCCCCCTTCATCCTTCCCCCTTCATCCTTCCCCCTTCATCCTTCCCCCTTCATCCTTCCCCCTTCATCCTTCCCCCTTCATCCTTCCCCCTTCATCCTTCCCCCTTCATCCTTCCCCCTTCATCCTTCCCCCTTCATCCTTCCCCCTTCATCCTTCCCCCTTCATCCTTCCCCCTTCATCCTTCCCCCTTCATCCTTCCCCCTTCATCCTTCCCCCTTCATCCTTCCCCCTTCATCCTTCCCCCTTCATCCTTCCCCCTTCATCCTTCCCCCTTCATCCTTCCCCCTTCATCCTTCCCCCTTCATCCTTCCCCCTTCATCCTTCCCCCTTCATCCTTCCCCCTTCATCCTTCCCCCTTCATCCTTCCCCCTTCATCCTTCCCCCTTCATCCTTCCCCCTTCATCCTTCCCCCTTCATCCTTCCCCCTTCATCCTTCCCCCTTCATCCTTCCCCCTTCATCCTTCCCCCTTCATCCTTCCCCCTTCATCCTTCCCCCTTCATCCTTCCCCCTTCATCCTTCCCCCTTCATCCTTCCCCCTTCATCCTTCCCCCTTCATCCTTCCCCCTTCATCCTTCCCCCTTCATCCTTCCCCCTTCATCCTTCCCCCTTCATCCTTCCCCCTTCATCCTTCCCCCTTCATCCTTCCCCCTTCATCCTTCCCCCTTCATCCTTCCCCCTTCATCCTTCCCCCTTCATCCTTCCCCCTTCATCCTTCCCCCTTCATCCTTCCCCCTTCATCCTTCCCCCTTCATCCTTCCCCCTTCATCCTTCCCCCTTCATCCTTCCCCCTTCATCCTTCCCCCTTCATCCTTCCCCCTTCATCCTTCCCCCTTCATCCTTCCCCCTTCATCCTTCCCCCTTCATCCTTCCCCCTTCATCCTTCCCCCTTCATCCTTCCCCCTTCATCCTTCCCCCTTCATCCTTCCCCCTTCATCCTTCCCCCTTCATCCTTCCCCCTTCATCCTTCCCCCTTCATCCTTCCCCCTTCATCCTTCCCCCTTCATCCTTCCCCCTTCATCCTTCCCCCTTCATCCTTCCCCCTTCATCCTTCCCCCTTCATCCTTCCCCCTTCATCCTTCCCCCTTCATCCTTCCCCCTTCATCCTTCCCCCTTCATCCTTCCCCCTTCATCCTTCCCCCTTCATCCTTCCCCCTTCATCCTTCCCCCTTCATCCTTCCCCCTTCATCCTTCCCCCTTCATCCTTCCCCCTTCATCCTTCCCCCTTCATCCTTCCCCCTTCATCCTTCCCCCTTCATCCTTCCCCCTTCATCCTTCCCCCTTCATCCTTCCCCCTTCATCCTTCCCCCTTCATCCTTCCCCCTTCATCCTTCCCCCTTCATCCTTCCCCCTTCATCCTTCCCCCTTCATCCTTCCCCCTTCATCCTTCCCCCTTCATCCTTCCCCCTTCATCCTTCCCCCTTCATCCTTCCCCCTTCATCCTTCCCCCTTCATCCTTCCCCCTTCATCCTTCCCCCTTCATCCTTCCCCCTTCATCCTTCCCCCTTCATCCTTCCCCCTTCATCCTTCCCCCTTCATCCTTCCCCCTTCATCCTTCCCCCTTCATCCTTCCCCCTTCATCCTTCCCCCTTCATCCTTCCCCCTTCATCCTTCCCCCTTCATCCTTCCCCCTTCATCCTTCCCCCTTCATCCTTCCCCCTTCATCCTTCCCCCTTCATCCTTCCCCCTTCATCCTTCCCCCTTCATCCTTCCCCCTTCATCCTTCCCCCTTCATCCTTCCCCCTTCATCCTTCCCCCTTCATCCTTCCCCCTTCATCCTTCCCCCTTCATCCTTCCCCCTTCATCCTTCCCCCTTCATCCTTCCCCCTTCATCCTTCCCCCTTCATCCTTCCCCCTTCATCCTTCCCCCTTCATCCTTCCCCCTTCATCCTTCCCCCTTCATCCTTCCCCCTTCATCCTTCCCCCTTCATCCTTCCCCCTTCATCCTTCCCCCTTCATCCTTCCCCCTTCATCCTTCCCCCTTCATCCTTCCCCCTTCATCCTTCCCCCTTCATCCTTCCCCCTTCATCCTTCCCCCTTCATCCTTCCCCCTTCATCCTTCCCCCTTCATCCTTCCCCCTTCATCCTTCCCCCTTCATCCTTCCCCCTTCATCCTTCCCCCTTCATCCTTCCCCCTTCATCCTTCCCCCTTCATCCTTCCCCCTTCATCCTTCCCCCTTCATCCTTCCCCCTTCATCCTTCCCCCTTCATCCTTCCCCCTTCATCCTTCCCCCTTCATCCTTCCCCCTTCATCCTTCCCCCTTCATCCTTCCCCCTTCATCCTTCCCCCTTCATCCTTCCCCCTTCATCCTTCCCCCTTCATCCTTCCCCCTTCATCCTTCCCCCTTCATCCTTCCCCCTTCATCCTTCCCCCTTCATCCTTCCCCCTTCATCCTTCCCCCTTCATCCTTCCCCCTTCATCCTTCCCCCTTCATCCTTCCCCCTTCATCCTTCCCCCTTCATCCTTCCCCCTTCATCCTTCCCCCTTCATCCTTCCCCCTTCATCCTTCCCCCTTCATCCTTCCCCCTTCATCCTTCCCCCTTCATCCTTCCCCCTTCATCCTTCCCCCTTCATCCTTCCCCCTTCATCCTTCCCCCTTCATCCTTCCCCCTTCATCCTTCCCCCTTCATCCTTCCCCCTTCATCCTTNGACCCCGCGAGGGAAAATTGAACTTGAAGTTATCCATATTTCAATTAAAACAGACGTTTCGCGTTAGTTAAAAACACAATAACACACGCTTTAAGCATCTGTACGAGGTTTGACATTAACTTTCTCGAGAATGCTTGAGAACTTAATCGCGGCCTCACTTGCAGAAATGAACCATTGAGAGAGCCTCTTTTGTCCCAAGTTCCTGAAATCTCTCTCTTCGAGTCGTTGTCTTACTCGTTTCTTTAATTTTGAAACTTGCAAATATACTAATTGTATATCACGAAAATATCTTCTACGTGGTAATTTGCGTACCTCACTGCAAAACTGTTAGGAGAAAATTATGTTTTTATCTTTGTTGGTTAAGCAATAAAACTGAAAAAAAATAACTCACATCCCATTCATTCATTTAATAAGAAGATCTCTTAGGTTCATAGTTACAACCAAACGTTTAAGCGGAGTCTTAATTCCTTAAAAACACAAAAAAAAACAGTGGCATGGCAAATGCTTTAAACATTTCACTATAATTCTACAACTGAAGAAAAACATTTTCCACTTGTGAGATACAATTTCCAGCCTAGCAACTGCTGCTGAAAGAACTCGATATTGTTCTCGCTGCTGTTTTCAACTAAAGAAACATTTTTTCCTACATGCAAGTTTACTTTGCTTCGAACAACTTCCACAGATCAGCCACTTCAAATGGACGCTTCGGTTCGTCAGTTTGGGGGGCCGGATGCGAGATGAGGCGCTCACACCCATCGAATGGTTTGCCATCCACCGTGAAACCGTCGTCCGAACCTTCCCGGCAGAGCGTGGCAGGATCATTTTGCGTTTTAATTCTGCACGGTTCAGAATCTTGGCATCTCTTTAGGCATTCCGTCGTGCACTTTTTGTAAGCCGTTGTCCTTTCTACTTCTACATCATACTCGATTATGCGCCACCGGGTGCGTCCACTGCAGTAGGTGGTCAGCGTTACCAACACAAAGAGGATGATACAGGTCTTCATCTGGAATTCTTGTCTTGAAACAGTTTCGGGTTCTGGACCTACAATTATCGCAAACCATAGATCTCATTATTTAATGAAAATCTCTGATCAAATGTAAACGCGTCTCCCATGCATGCCCACTTTGTAGTTTGAATGTTTGAAACCTTCATTCCGGTCTTGATTTCGGTTCTCGGGAAGTTTGCTGAAGGGCATTCCGAATTGCACTCGACTTAAATAGGGTCGTCTCGACACATTATCAGTGATTACATTTAGTTTCATTATCAGCTGAAGAGGGAATGATACAAGACTAAGACGTACATTTTCGTCTTCGGCTATTGGATCTTCCTACGGACTGCAGAGTCTTGAGAAAATTAACCCCCCAATGAAGGTTTTCATCTCCTTAATTCAGTGTAAAACACAAAACAGATTGGGTGCCCTCCTGGTGAAACGGCTAAGTTTTGCAAGCGCTCTTTTTAAACTCTTAACCTTGCCTTCTATTTTTGTGGTTACTGGCTTCTATCCAGTCACTAATGTGTCATCATGTCCATTTGTAAGTAAGTAAGTAAGTAAGTATGTAAGTATGTAAGTAAGATAGTCCGTGACTTTTCTGGTCTCACGAAGCAACGCCGAAAATACCACGAAATTTGCTCAAGTTCTTTTGATCGATTTTCACCTTTCAAACGCAAGTTTTAATGAAAATAACTACTTTTCCTGTTTAAAATTGGCTCCGTTTAATTTAACATCACTATTGGAGTGCGAATTTACTAGCAGAGACGTAGCGTTACGGAGCATTACGAATGATTACGATCCGTAACCGCTGACTGCACGAAAGACATTGCAGACTCATTTTTCCACGCTCTTCGAGTTGACATGACATTGTTTGGATAATCAGGTGAGCAGCCGCAATGTTTTCTCATATGTCTAGCATATAACCAGGCACAGCTTTCACCGAATGTACCAAAGCATTTTTCTCGAAGTATTCTCAAAGTATTTTCTTTGTTTTTCTACTAGTTACCACACACTGTTACATAATACTAGTGCGCACTTTCATATATTTCTTAACCACTTAATGATTATATTTTTAGTTGATTTGAAATATTGTGTCTATATTTGGGGAAGCATGCTCATTATGAAAAGCGCGTACAAGATAAGAGACAACAGAGAAAGGGGAAAAGGAAAAAGGTCGACATAAAAAAGAAACAAACTACGAAGGAGGCCGCCGGTCCTGGTGTAAGGTTTTGGGAAAATAAAGAGTAAAATTAGAAAGAGGATTGAATAGCAAAAGGGGAGCTGCTAAAAAAAGGTGGATTGAAGTCACAGTTCATTTGAATAGATTCCATTTCGATTTGTATTTCTTGACAGTGTTTGTCTTATAAGCATAACATTTTGCGATTTCCTGGCACTTAAGGAAAGTTTGTGAAAATACTTGTAAATTCGGGAGAGTTTTCTTTATTTTCGATGAATAAATGTGATATCTGCCAATTAGAAGTGCATGGTGTAGAAGTATATCCGCTGTACTATCAACTAGTCCCAGGCAGATTGGTAGGGTCAAAGAAAAGTCCTGTGGCTTTATCAGATGCTGTATCAACCAATGTTGGATGTTTTGACAAAAAGTTTGAACTAATTCACAGTCCCAGAAGAGACGAATCAGGCTTTCTGTGTTTTGTTCACAGAAAGTACATATGTCTGTTAAAGAGATACCTATTTTACAGGGATAATCATTCATTGCAATTTTTTTGAAGAAGCTTAAATTGGAAAGTTTGGTTTCTTTCGTGCAATAGAAGGGCAAAAATATATGACTTATCCCATTTTAGCAAGAAATACGATTGTTACGTGCCTTGAAAGCATCCATCGAGCAAATAAATGCACATTCTCAAATTGATGTTTATTTCATTCTTTCGTACTACCCGGAATTAGAAGTAAATGTTTGTTTCATTATAAATACTTGTTTCAATTGCAAATGGAAATTGAAATATTCACCCAAGTCAGGATTCCTCTACAGGATTATAAAAAGCTCTGCTGGCAAAAAGCCATCTGAACCAAGTCGACAAGATCTCTTCATACGGAAATTCTGGATCGTTTATTATTAAAATACCGAAAGATCAGGAATGTTTGGTTCATATAAACTTTTCGTATAATTTCAGAGCTGAACAACGAACTTCCAGCAATCTGATTGGTCGAGTGATTCCTTATATGTCGTTATATAAACCGCGCTAGGTGGTTTAAATAACATTTTCGAGGTCCCTTCTACTAAGCTCGCCACCTTTGCCATCTCGGCAAGTAAACATGGCGGACAGTTGGTGAATGAATTTTGGATATTGGAAAGGATGGAGAATTTCCAAAATGACTGCTTTCATCCTTGGACCAAAAATCCTTTCAATAACTCGTGTTCAAGGCTGTTAAGAATCGTAAACGCAGTGGTTACGCAGAGGTTATTGCCAGCAGGTCAGATCGATCGACCGAAATCTGTTTTTCTCCTGAAGCTACCCGTTTTGAGACGATGATGACAACTGTGGATGAAGTCAACAGCGATAAAACAAATGTACCGGATGAATTTATTTTTCGTAGTGTTTTGCTTGTTCGTTCACATCGAGCATGTGTTAGTTATATTATATCCATGTTAAGACACCGTCCGAGCAGAAGCCTACGTACCAGACGTTTGCAAGCGAGCGAGCGAACAAATGAGCGCGCCTAGGGTGAGCAAAAAATGGGGAGAAGTGGAGAGGGGGTGAGAGAGAAGTGGAGAGGGGGCGAGCGAGAAGTGGAGACGGGGTGAGCGAAAAGTCGAGAAGGGGTGAGCAAAAACAAAAGAAGGAGACAGAGGAGGGGGGAGTAAGGAAATGATTCCTTTTTTGTCCCACCGCCTCCAACAATTTCAAGTTCCTACCTGATATCCCGGGATATCTCAGTTTTCTAAATATGCTATGTCCCATTGAATGTTCCCCAGATATCCTAGGTGTTTCCCATTAATTTTTGACATAAAAATCCCGTATCCCCAAAGCCCCTAATAGGGCCTCAGTTCTAACTTAACGAAAGCTTTATTACTATATAACAGAGAATATTTCAGAAAAAATAAAAAAAAATCAGTTACCCATTTCGTGTATAATTTTGTGGGTGACCTACTAAGCAATAACCTCAAGAATTGCATAACTTACTATAGTACATTCAGTGAAATTCGGTTTGATATGAGTTGTGGGTAGAGAGCCAAAGCTAATCGAACTAATATTTGAATAAGTCCTTCGCCAAATTTCACTCTAAGCTCAGCTAAGGATCATGAATTGACCGAGAAACTCATGCGGAATTAAGTAATCAACTCTACAATGTAAGAGAGCCGATTTAGACCTTCGAATGCCACGCAAAGTTTTCGATTTGTTTTCCTCAGTTAAATGCGCTAAGTAAGGACAATGTTACGTGTAAGTTCTAACTCAGTTCAGATTTATAAGTTGTTTCAAAATTATACGAAATTCAACAAAAATTATCAATGACTCAAAATTGAAGCTGTCACAAGTTTACCGAGAGAGAGAAAAATTATATCTAAGGCAATGTCCGTGAAAAAATTAAGACTAAGGCAATATCCATGGTTAAATTGTCTTCCTAGGTATATAGGATGTTCATGAAGACTATAAACAACAAAAACGAAAAAATCAACTGAGCCAAGTTTCTCGGTTCGCTTGCTACTTGCTATGGCTCTGTCGGAATATTCAATGCAACTACAGCCAGCGAATGTTTCCTTGTTTTAGTTACAGAAAAGCAACAGCAAAGCGCCAACTGTTTTGTTTAACACAAAGTCTCGCTGTTGATTTTCGTCGTCCAGTGCTGACCCTTCATGAAATCGAAACGAGTTACTGCGTTGAAGAAACACCATTTCCACTGAAACATACTAGAATCAAAGGTAAACGTGCGACTATGGTTTCCTACATTCAAGAATTTTCTACATCTGCATTTTGGTGGGTTTTGTTTAACTCAAACAAACGCTGGTAGAAGTTTGGTAAGATAAAAAAGTGCATAGGTTCAACACAACCATTTTTGTAACCCTAAAGAAAGAGCGCTGTCCAAATAAAAAAATACACTACTTCAACATCGCCTGCGTTCAAAAAGTACAAGATTAAACCGTAAATTATTCTTAATTTAGTCCTTACCTTGAATTGTAGGATAAAAATCTCAGCGTGAATTCTATTTTACTTTTTATAAAGAGTGCTTTCCCTTACAACCCCTCTTCCCCGCGATGAGTAAAAGCGATTATCCAAGGGAAATCTAAAAGGTGCTTGTAAAGAATCTTGTATCTAAGAAACGGCCGTGATCTCTTGGTGGAATGTTTATTACTCAAAACCTATTTTGCGCTGTTTGAATTAAAAAAGGCAAAATCTGACAATTGCGAAAGTTCCGCTTAAGAAAATTGCAATATTTTTTGTATTTGCGTTATTATTCTCGCATCCAGGACGAACTTCAAGTCAATCTGCCATTTTGCGGGCTTTTTTCTGTCTTTACGCTGTCGAATCGCGAAACAATAGCATATGATTAATTTTGTTGCGATTATTGATCCCAGAAATGATGGTTCTGACTTGCTCACGCAAAAACCCTTAATTTGCATATGTTAAATTTTGTCTTTAATTCTCTAGTCCAATTTTTAACTTGTCAGAGTTTCCTTATTAATGATAAATTAGTCTATTTGTAGTATGTATCATCTCAAGCCGTTTTCAGTATATTGTTCATTGCGTGAACCCATGCAATAGAATCCTTAAAGACCACGAACTGATTGTTTGTTTGCTTTTTGTAGATTTTTATTGTCGCAACGCTTCCGAAACCTAATTGATATGAAGGTCTTGAAGCCCTTCATGTGTCTGTAATATGCATTAGTGATCCCGGGGGATCAGGGGTAATATTTCCGTGTGATCCGTAGATAGTGACCGCAAGAAAATGGTTCACGTTTGAAGGATCTATATTCCAACCTGATCCCGAGGTTTACAGCTGCAAGATGACTGGTTTTCTTAATAGTTTCGTAGACTCAGTAAATAACGAAGTATGCTCCGACGGCTTTGAACAAGTATTTTTGACAAACGTAGGTCGACGTGGCCAACTCAAAAACTAGAAATGACTCGCTAGAGCAAGTTAAACAACCAAATCTCGTGGAACTCCAGCCATCAAATGGAAAATCTTTCAATAGCAATCAGGCGTTTGCAGTCCCTTCGATCATTTCTAACAAGGTTCAAGTGATATTGGATCGGGCTCACCCTCGCCCCTCAGAAACCCAACTAGAAATGTCACCATGGATGCACTGAGGTGGAACCCCCAGCGGACGAGGAGTCCAGGCCACTCCAGAAACAGGCCTAATCAGGGTTTTCGACACCATCTTGCCGGGTAGGCAAGTTACGGTGTTTTAATGGGAATCCGATGGCAAATAACTTTTTTCAAATATTGAATTTTGCTCAACTTACGAATCGCAACATTACCATGCTAGGAAGCAGATTGTATTCACCAAATGAAGGACGTAGCTGAGCTAGAAGACGCTCGGTTAATTTTTAATTTCCCATACATTTGTCTATAAATTAATTAAATTTTTTTTTTCCCGCGAACTGCGTCTACCCAGCCAAATTTACAGACACATGTATGGAAAATTAGAAAAATAAACTGAGCGTCTTCTAGCCAAGCTGCATCCTTCAAACTTGGTGAATACAATCTTCTACCTAGTCTTTTAACGTTGCGATTCCCAAAATTATGTAAAATTTAATTTTTGAAAAGGTTATTCGCCATCGGATTCCCATACTGTAATTTCTGACCGCTTTGCCTACCCGTCAAGATGGCGTCGAAAACCGTGATTAGGGCATATTGGAGGAGAACAGTGGACGACTAGGCGGGCAAGACCGGCTAGGCTTAGAGGCAGATAAGCTGGCCCAAAACAGAACGAGATAGCCGGCTGCTTCCATGGTTCTATGCTCCACAAGGAGTGGAAGAAAATAAGTCAAGAAAGTCACCATCCTTTCTAGCAAATTTATTTACTTTGATTAACACTATAATATACAACCACGTAACAGCATATATGTTAACCGACATTATGAAATAGAGAGTTTCTTCACTCCAATAACACATGCTTACATCATTGAGGCCAGTGGAACAGCTTGCAATGTTGTTTGAAGAACAAACGTGTCCTTATCTAATGTTCCTTCTGACCTTTGATTCAGTTCTTTATAATTTTACTTTATTTTATTATATTTTTTTCACGCATTTCTCAGAGGTTTTCTTGTTTGCTGTAAATTTTCTTTAGAGTAAAACAAACAAGAACATACGTCTAAATGACTGGACTGTAACAACAACAGCATGTAATATGGTATGAGGCTTTTGTTTGGCATATAATATATACATTTGAAAGTAATCTATTTTGAGGAATGTGTGCATTCTATTGCATTACCAATTATGATCGGTGAGGTTCGGCAATGCACAATTCCGAAGCAAACATTTCGCATTTGTGACCTGATCTCAGTAATGTGTGGAAATGACAGGAGAGTAACCATTTTTTTTAAAGCAGCTGCATCAGTTATAGTTATCGCTGTATCTCTATTTTGTTTTTTTCAACAAACCTGTACGACTACAGATTGATTGATACAATTGTCAGTATTACTACGAGAAGCGTGGTTCTGAGCCACACCCGGGAACATACCTGGCGTCACGCACTATTCCGGCGTTACGCACCCCTTACTCCACCCCGACAATGTATCCTAATTAGCGCTTTAAGCTTCATACATCTGGCATTATGTTACGTACATCAGAGGACAAACTGCTGTTCATAAGACATAGCATTATGAGCTTAATTGCCATTTTCATTAAGTGGTAGTAAACTAGATTTCAGCACGAAACCAGTTTTTCAGGTTTACAAAATGAGTCTTGATCGAATGAGTGCAGTAGTTCTGAACTTATAAGTTGTTTTACACTCAAAGTTCGATTGCCTTTTCCTTCGTTTGCTCATGCACTAAGAGCGAACCATGTCTGTGAGATATGCATGGTTTCCAAACTATTCTCTGGCACGCTGTAAGTCAAATATCCAGAATCCATGGAACCAAACGTTGCTGGTTGGTTCGTGCATGAGAAATAATTCCGCCGTTCTCTTAGTTGACAAGCAAAATGTATTTTGAAATATCTCGAAATTACGCTTCAAGTTTTCTTGACCTCTACCTTAGAGTTAACGCTACAAATATCTTCGCTATACGAATACGAAACAACGTCAAGGCGACGCGGGTGTGAACTGGTTGTGCATCGTTGGGTCTCGGAAGGGAAAACCATTGTCTGACTCAAGCGCGCTTCTCTTTGACAGCCTTTTTCTCAAGTGAAATATTCAGTGAAGGTGCTTAGATGTACGGATATTGCTGATATGAGTCTTGAATCTTACTTTAGTGTTGACATGATATAGGTGTATAAGTTAAGACCGCAAGAGGCATGATTACAACCGAATATATGATACCATTGGCCAATGCACCCTGGATATAATGGATTAGACTTCTTGCAGAATCTTAAATGGTTGGTATAGCACTTTCGCTTAGTCCAGTGTATGTGAAGTGAATAGTTGTGACGCTTCTGCAATGGAAATGAAAGAAACTTGTTTTAAGAATTAATTTCAACTTTAAACATTCATTAATTAGAGTAATTTTTTATCAGTTCCATATTAAAGAGATTTTATGGCATGGCTAAAAACAGTTTTGTTCAAAATAACAAGCTGGTGTGTTAAATTGTTTCAACAATTTAAATTCGATAATTCTTTGCTTGTTTTGAATGCTGGGCGTTTCCTCTCTGCTATTTTAGGATTTTTATTGTGTGCTATGGATTGTCTCTGTGATGTTTGATTCCACAGTTTCTAAAGTGAACCCCAAAGGAGCTACGTCACGGTTTGCCCAACTTGAACAGATTAGCCTAAATTTTTCAAGTTTGTTGTTGGTAATCCGTGTCAAATTCTCCATCCTTGACCATCCTTGTTCCTTTCTGGTTTATTATTATCTCTCTAGTGTTCTTCTATCTTAGTAAACTATTATTTTCTGGTTTCCTTCAATTTAGAGGTAACTTTGTACGTGGCCAAAATAACACAAAATACCGTAACTTAAAGTCATCAAAAGGGATCGATATTCTCGTGATGTACCAATTAATTTTAAGCAAAATGTTGACAACCAATACGTCCTTGTACAGTCAGCTGCACTAGTAAAATATTTTTCATCCAGACTATAAGCTTAAAAACATCACTTACAAGTTTCTGACCACGCCCTACCTCAGATATTCTTCCGTTCAAAGTGACTCACTTTTTTCTCTGTCGTGTTGGTTCCTGGTAGAAAATAAAGTTACGTAACAAATGATTATTTTCTTGTTTCTATTGTTTTGTTTTCTTTCTCCTTTTCGATTTATTACAAGCGTGGGGTCATATTTAAGTACTATTTAACCGGAAGCGGCCCAGTGGGCATAGCAGGGATTCGTGATCATCCATCTAAAGCAGGTCTATAGCTACAAGCCATGTCAAATTTCCTACCGATCAGCACTTCTCTCCTCCACAGAGGCTCCCTATGGGAAATTGAATATTGGAAGTGGGAAGGTGCGTTCCCGCGCACTTCCGTTTTTCCCTCTTCCCAGCCTCCGAACTACCAGCCTGCGATCAAGGTAGCACAAAGAGGCCTCTGCGGAGGTGAAAGGATCAACACAGTTCGATAATTCTCTTCCAGTTCAAGGTCGTCGGAGATGGTCTATGTATTAAAAGACCTTCAGTGCTAGACATGTTAATTTCGGAATGTTATGTTGCTACCAATCAGAGTCGAGATGAAATTAAAGAAAGAATATTGAAGAAAGCGAAAGCCTAGGGTATCAGACGATTACGCGGCACGTAGCGTAAACAACTTGCCTCCCTCTCTTGGATAACTGAAGATGGTCATAGCATGTCACCCGTTTGCTGATACTCATTTTCAGACGCTCATACGTGGTGTTGGTACTGCGAGGTTTAAGTGCCTTGCTCGAGGCATAGTTAATGAAGAGAATGGTTATGAAACCCGACAAAGTTGTTTGTTGTATGTTTTTGCTCACTTTTTTGCCTTTACCATGCACAAAGCACTGAGGAACTAACCAAGAGAACAGTTATGATTACGTAACTCATGCACAATGTATGAGTGCAAAATAAGAGATTTTTCACGGTCGTGGACCTTCCAACTTAAACACTGGCATCTTTGTTTGCTCCTTTGATGTCTGCCGGGCTTTATATAACCAGTCTCGTCGATTAATTATGTTCAAGGACACAACATTACTACGCGGGGCCTCAGAACCGTGACCACGTTATCTTGAGTACTAGCAGACTAATAAACTGGTCCACCGCGCCTCCTGACAAAGCACAGGCTATTCGAATTGTTACGTAATCAGGGTGAACTTTTACTTTCGGTGAAATCGTTCACAGTTATCTTTCGCGTACACAGACGTTCCAAGATTCATATTGCAGCTCGATATCTCGAACATCTGTTCTAAAAGAAAAATTTAGGGGAAACCTTTCAGGTTTGTTGCTCTTTAGGTTAAGAACTCAATTTGCAATTATCACATCTCTTCCGTTTTTATAAACTTAGAAACAATAAAGTATAAGAAATATTACTGACGCCCAGAACTTGAATTTGAATCACTGTCAGTAACTATACCGCGGTAGCAATTACTTTTAGTAGCCAGGTTTTTATGACGTTATGGCCGGCCAAACTCATGCAGCATTTTAGCACAAAATATTGCACGTGCAACACTGTCGCATGCAGCATGTGGCACATGCCTGGCCACGACCATCCAACATCTTGCAGCATGTGACATGTTGCATATCAACATAGTTGAACCAAACGTATGTAATACAGTGTATGTCGCGCTGTAATGTTGTGTTTGTTCATGTTTGTTTGGCCGAGCAACACAACTCCCTTGTCCACTTACTTGACGTTGATATGCAGGTCTTTGTCTGACATTTGCATCTTCCACCAGCAAACAAGTCAAGAATTTCCGCTAATCTTTCATCCGGGCCGCAAACAGGGACCTTTCGTTTCGTCTTACATAAGGGCGCACACCGCGGGATCCCATTCTTTCTGCAGCGGCACTTGAGCGTGCAGTTTTGAGTGACAAAAACACGACCGCGCCTGAATCGCCGATCGCCCACATAACAAAACGTTTTAGGAACTGAAAAAACATTGTACAATTCATGTTAGTCAGGTCAACTTGGTAAGAATAGTGGCACACAAGGGTAGCGCTGGATTGCGTAACTCTTAGTAATCAAGAATGTTGTTTCTACCCCATGGATATGATGCTAGTCCATAGAAGATTATCCACATGTAACATTTTTTTTGTTGCATGTGGTGTCCGAAGAATTCGCTGACGCAATTTTATACGCCCCAGCCGGCCCTGAGTAAAAAGAAACACCACGAGGGAAAATTTTGAATAATGGTCAGGACTTTTGAACTGTTGGACTATGGATCGTATCTCTCCAGGCAGGGAAATAAACAAGTACAATAAAACGTTGAGTATTTGTATAAAATAGTGTTTAGCGATCTGAGGGAAACACGTGTGCCGTTCAAGAGGGAGAAGCAAACTATTTCATGCTACATGCGACGTCCACATGAAGGATATCCCTATAAACTGAACTTCTGGGACATATAACGTATTTCTTTTTACGTCTTTTTGACATCTCTATGTAAGTTTCTTCGATTGCGTCGCCTACAATAAACAGCCAAGCAGCTAAGCAAGCTGAGAGATGACTGTTTGTTTGCCTTAGTGGTTTTACAAACCGATCAAAGTTATCAAAAAACTACTCTTTCTGTAATACTTATTGAAAATATAAAAGAAACATGTTGAGGTACCTGGAACACATTCCTGCATCTCACACGAGCACCCGTTCTCTTCTCCCACATTGACAACACCTCGGCCTTTGGGTCGTGTTCCCCTGGGACATTTTATTTTGGGACACAATGGTACGCAGGTAATTTCACCGTTCTCATTGCACCTGCAGGTTTCAGAGCAATTCCGCGTGTTAAATGTCTCTCCAACCTTGTACTTTTCGTCGTTGTCTTCTCTGTAGCAAACGACTGAAAGAAATCAAGACTTCAGGTGACATTTCCTTAGGTTGCTTGAAAGTGATCTCTCTTGATCTTTCCGTACGAAGCACAAATATCTTTCTCCTTAAAAGGCGCATTAGACCGCAAAATTAAATAATTGAGAGCGTTTTTAGGGAGCGCTTACGTCATCCATGGAAGACCGGCGTTTAGGTATTACATGTACCACTACGCTTTATTTTATCCAGCCGGTCTCTCCGCTTGTAGCACCTCGGTCGCAATACCAAATGCTAGAAGGGAATTCCGGTATCGAAGACTTGACTGAGTTCGACTGCAAGCGGATAGAATTTGAATCGATTCAAGTGATTGTGATCGTCCCGATCATCCGGACGGTATCCGAAGCCGTGGCTCCCCGTGAAAGCCCCCTCGCTTGAATTGGATTCAGTGAGAGCTTTTTGAAGAGCTGTGACTGCTGGCAAAATCCATCGGAATGTATGATTTCGAATGATTACACAGGTTGGCGAATGGTCCGTGAAGAACCATGGGTCTCGCAAAATTTTCGTCAATTTCACGGATCTCGCAATCTCGCTTGTTAGCGTCTCGATTTTTGGCAAGGCTAAGAAAGTCTCAGAGTACCGATTATTTGTTTGTTTTATTTTGATAACTGACCTCTGAGCATCTTAGACCCCAAACGTCTCGCGGTCGCTTTTAAAACACTTTGAAGTCTCGGTCTCACAATTAAAAAAGTGAAAACGACTCGGGCTCACAAAGAGAAACGTTAGTCCCGCGCCTTCTCGCAAAGTCTCGCATGTACCATTTACCACCCCCATTACATGGAAGCACACAAAGCCACTCGTGAGGCCATGACCCACGTGTGTTGTACAAAACGATCACGCTATTTGTTATCTTAGCCAATTATATCGTTTGCCCATCAGTATGGTAAAACTCTTTTGGAAAGCCCGCAGAGGCTTCTTTCAGTAAGCCTTCCTTCAGTAGAACGAGAGAAAACTAATCAGGTATCTTGCTTTAGTCATTCCTCGCCAGCTCGATTGTAAACTTCAAAAATCTCCCACGGAAGAGGGAGACACGAATCAGTTTTGCGTGGCGCTTCACGGCATTGGTAAATTGGATTTGGGGCAGTTAAGAGTATTTAAGAGTATTAAAGTCTTATTTTTCAAAGATACTGCCGAATTGCTTCTTCTAGTTATCGTATTTTGATCCTCACTGAGCGATTGGAAGCACGGTGGTCTGTAAAGAACATATCAACGACATCGCGTGTTGCAAATAAAACGTGTTAAACATAGATCTATTAGCTGTTGAAATATATCGTCATGTTTGTTTTAACGACCAACAAATTTCAATAACAAAAGATATATCTATCATTAATGCTTGGAAAATGGCTTCTTTTTCTTGTTTAAGATCATCGAAAACAAACCCATTTCCGTGCGTGCGCCATTATTCAAAAGCCCGACCAAAAGCCGGGTTGTGGCAGATAAAATCAATCTTACCTTATACGTGTGCGTTTCTACAGAGATAAACGCTTTACTAAACAACAATTAATGTAAAGAACAGAAAGGCCTGGTACAACACACCGTAAATCATGCATACCAAAATGGCTTAAAGTGATTTTTCACACGCAATGATCGTCAAGTTAGAAATCGCCTGACAATTCATGTCTGATATCTCTATTACTTGATACCTCTCGTGTGATAATCGAAGTACCGCCTTAACACTGCGCGCCACGAGCAACTTGTAAGGACCGACTTAATCCTCTTGCTCAAATGTAAGTCATATTGTAAGTCGAATATTTAATAAAAGGTCAAACAATTGCGTGCGTCCATTGATGCGAGGCACACACATAAGACTTAATGTGCACGAGATAGATGACTCTTTAAAAAGAGTCATGATCAAAAATCGCCGTTGTACTTTGCCCAGAAACTAAAATAGCTGACTATTTATTTGGTGCTCAATCTGAAATCTGAAGCGCTGGTGACGTTAGTTTATAACCGAGTAAGAAAACTGACAAATATCACCTATTTTCGTGATTTATTTTCGTGATTTGAGACGGGATTAAAAAATTACTTAAATTGTTAGGACATGCATGCTTTGATCGTGGACTGTACAAATTCCACGAGTGTTCTCTCAGCACACGGAAGTGGCTTATAACTAAAGTAAATGCACAGAAATGCTTGGAATAGTCTGCATAGTGCCGTGCCTAATCCGAGCAAGTACGAGCAATATACAGTACATTTCCGTTACTGTATAAAAATCAATAGCCACACCGTTTTTCATATACTTGTCACGTTCACTGGTCAAATGCGAATGCGTACGTTAGGTTAAGTATACAATCGCTGAATAATTTAGCTGTCAGAGTGCTTTGGTAAGCAGACTATCGACAGCTGAGATTGGCTCTTTCTTCCATTAACTTTTCAAGGGAAACTATCGAACGATATTACCAGAGTATAAAAAACCTAATGTTGTTGTAATGATCTTCAGCGTTCTCAATAACTTTCGCCTGATATTGCCCTTTGAGTCAGGTGATCAATCCTGAAGTAAACTTAATTATTAGCGAACTATAAATTGATTGTTGACCTAACCGACACAAAACCTCGAGCTTGTAACCTATAAATTGTTGATATTGGCCAGCCTGAAAGTAATGAATCAGTGCTGAGCTGCACTCTTGCAGTAAAGTCCTGACACCTGCCTGTTGTAACTTTCACTGATACAAACATGATCAGTTACCAAAAGTAGTAAAATAACGGGGGTTTTTTCTTCGCAGTTTCTGTAATCGTAGGCAAAGAAACACGCCTCCTTGTGACGTACTTGATTTGTTTTTCATAAGACGCACATCACTCAGTGAGCTCCCAGACGTGCGTCTACATGCGCAGGTCTCGAAATTAAGATTTCCTGTTTCGTAATTATTAACGATAGAATTAAATGAATCCTTCGCTTTGCGGCTTCTTAAGTCAAGAACAGGTTCAAGAGGAATAAACCAAATATAAAGTGTCCGAAAAAAGCCGACTACATTACTGTACATATCCAATGACCCAAAGCCAAAGATGTTTTGTAACCGGGCGAAAGCCGCAAGCACTTACTTCTTAAGTAAATAAAACGGGCGGTGTCTGACAACTGATTCAATGATATCATACCAGGCTCTCACTGAAATATTGTCACTTTTGCAGCGGTTTACACTGTATCAGGTAGCGAAAGCTCTTAGAGATTAAATCCTCATTTATGTCGTACATAATGTGAGCTGGAGAACAAAGAGCGCCGCGCCACGCAAACAAACAAGGAAACTCATCCATTCCACATGCGCCATTCACATGCACAGACGTGATTTATCAGTTGCTTCAACCCAAGCCTATAGTTACCATCATAGTGTTACAACGTCTGTTTCACGAGGAAACAGAAAAAAAGTTTTCCTGCAGGAAACAACTTTCCTTGAACAAAACTGATTACAGAATGCACACTTTAGAAGCGTGGAAAAGCTTTGTAAAGAGATTGTTATAATTCCCAAAGCCATTGAAACCCGTACACAGATATCAAAGGTACTGGCGAACGATGAAACTAACATACCTTTCAAGGGTATGCAGTATCTCCTTATGCAAGAGCAACTGACCCCTCCTGAACCAATAGGTTCATTTTCTTCCTTAAGCGTTGTTCCGGGGGGACATTTCCGTAACATCTGCCGACAGAGATCCATACAACTGGCCACCCCTCCCGGCATACAGATGCAGCGTGATGAGCAGTCACTAGTGATGAACGAGGAATTAACTGGGTGAGCTTCACCTTTGATCACGCAGCTTGTCTCACCTACTAATGAAAAAAAGAAAAAAAAAGCATTCAGAGGAGACTTTGCTGGCACCAAATCAAAAGAGACGTTGATATGAATTCTTGGTCTTATAATGAGTTTCCGTTGGAAGTGTCAGACATCACCTTTTGAACTTGTTCTTTGAGGTAAACTCTTGCCAATCACTGCAATGTGAAAAATTGACAAATTAATAACAGGTAAACAGTAATTTTATTACTGCATGTCAAGATGTTGTCAAGTCTCCTTGGTCCTGACAAGGCAATGAAATGCTTTTTCCTGTGTAAATCAGAACGGGGCAAAAATGGGCCCTCGAGTCCGTTGAGTGGACTAAAGATTTCACTGAATTAACTAATCAATAGATTGAAGAGAGCAAAAACATCTTTTTACATAACATAGCATAACAAAGTCTCGTCGATCTAATCTAGCAGCGGTGCAAGTGTGCATCCGTGACTAAAAACACTCCAGTTAAGAAATTGAAGGAATTTTCATCACCTTAACACATATTTCTTACGAACTAAAGGAAAAACTAAAGAGACAAAGGAGTTGGTCAGGATTTAGTAAGTATTCTGAGAATGCCTTCGTAAACAGTGTGAATACAGAAAGCTTGGGAAGAGCATTTTCATTCGGTTAACGACTGAAAAGTATCTGGCGATTTTTACAAACATTTGTGAATGAACGGTGACCTATGCGAAGTAGGAAGGTCTCAATCAATGTAGGAATAGTGTAATTTTCAGGCATGTCTTGAACAAAGAATAAAGCTTGTTTGTTGCCATTGCTGTCAGCTTGGTTGCCTAATCTGAAGAATTAGTTTGTGCTTTAGCTGTGTGTGTTGTCGAGACTTCTGGACGGGCAAGGGAAAATTGGCGAACATTGGAGAAGAACGCTTTGCTGGGGCATCTTCAACATTTCTCTCGTTCTCTCGTTCTCTCTTGCCTTCTGCAAAATCGGCAAAAGCATGGACAAAGCCCAAACCGTGTCCGTACTCAAAATAAATTATGGACCGAGAGGACAATTTGATTTCACGAGATCATTCACTCGCTAGAACCCCTCACCCATAAAGAAATGATCTTAGTTTCAGTTTGTTATTCATTGTTTATTGTTATTGTGTACTTCAGTTGGTATTGTGGTTTAGTTGAGTGAGACGACATTCCGTACTTTGTCTCGCTTGCTTCCTCTTGTTTCTTGCCGTCTCAAAATCAGCCGTTGTATTGCGTTGTACGGGGCTTTTTTTTTCTTTCTCGACAACTTTTTGCAAAGTTGCGTAAGAACGGCAGATACAGTCAATTTATTTAGACAATTCAAGCAAGGGAAAAGTTATTGATGGTTAACTCACAATCCACATTCCTGTCAAAAGCCGGAAAGAAAGAGAATGCAAAATTGAAGAGGTATTGACAACAAGGAACTTGTAAATGTAGGCAATGAATGTTCCTGTCAAGCCAAACGGATAGAAACTCGAGGAATGTCCCTTTTAGCGATATTTGTCAATCGTCAAAATTCAACCACTTTTTCACGGCCTGCAGATGCACGAAATCAAAATACTGAGGGTGTTGTTTTTTTTTTCCTTCTTAGAAATCATCCTCTAGATGAAACAATGCAAACGGCCGTGCAGAATGTCTTAATCTGAAGTGGAGGCGTGATACGCTGCAGCGTCCCAACGTAGATACTGTCATTGTTGTTTTAGTCTGTACGAGTAGGGGGTAATTATTCACCCAACGAGGAATAAAAACATCATTTCCCTCTGGTGCACCATACCACAGGGGTTTGCGCTCTGAATCAACTGATTCTCGGCCGAGACTGTGTGTGTGATATCACTTTCCCACTAAGCTGATTATCGGAGTTACAGAAGAGTATACATCCTGCAGGATAATTTCGTATTTCTGAAACATGGCTGGAAACGTGCCTTTGGACTTGATTTTTTTTTTTTTTTTTTTTTTTTCATTTTTTCACACTTTAAAGCCGTTAGTTAATCGTCTATCGCCGTAAGAGTGCATTCAAAGGCCTGGCAACTGAAGAAATTCGACACAAGTCAGGACTTAGATTTCTTTCTACAGATCCCTTTCGTTCAGTGATTTTCCGGCCAAGTTCCGTCACGCCAAATTGAAAGAGGGTGGGCCAATGGGAATATTGCTACTCTNTTTTTTTTTTTTTTTTTTTTTTTCTCATGGGGAGGGGCCATCATCATTCAAACTACGCCATACATGGCCGTAATTTCATTTTATCTAAGAAGTCGACTTGGAAACTAGCAAAAACAACTGAACTTTGACAATCTAAGGGTCATATCATTCCGAAGTGAACATCGTTTAGAATGCATTCTAATCTTTTTCATCCTTTTTTGCATGTAAATCTTATTCACGAAGTCGACTTTTCTCAAATCTTGCATTTGTGCTGGTAAACAAACAGCATCGTCGGACGGAAGTTCTCATTTCCTTTCACAAAAAATTCGTCATTTTTGAAATTGTACCTCTTTAATTCGTTGAAAACAATAATAGTACATTTAGTGATTGCTTCACGAGGAAAGTTGTGCTCGCGTGTGAATAAAAAAGACATTGCGTAGATCTGTTTTTCTGTCTAGACAAGAAGCTGATACAATTTCGACATTTTGACGAAATTCGTTTGTCGTGGAAAAGAGTTTCTTTACTTTAGGCGGGCGGAAAGTTGACGTTACATCATAGTTCCGATGGTTGCTCAATTTTTTTGCACCTTAAAGCTGTCCTCAAGCGCAAGGAATCCTCTTACTTAGCTCAAGGTTTTTGATCAAATGCCTCCATTGTCTGCGCTTTTGTTTTTTTGGAGTGTACTTTGATGCACGTGATGTATGCATACGAGTCAGCTTGGTTCTTCTTGCTTCATTTTCAGTCTATCCATGGTCAGTTGCGTTTTGATGTCATGGCCACGAATAAGTGGCGTTGATTTTGTCATAAAGGTCTTTTACAACTACAAGGAATGGTTAAAGGACGTGTATGTTTAAGGGCATTGGTCTCACTGAAATAATGAACAACAATAAAGCAAACAAGCCCTTCCTCACCTGAACAAAATCCTCCAAATGTGGCAAGGATCACCAAAATCGAAACTGTCAAGAAATGCATGGCTTGCTACTGAAATCTTTGAAGTTTCAACCTGGATAACAAGGAACAACAGTTTCAATGATATTTCAGTCTGCCAGAAAACCCGCAAAGAGTCAGTCCACTTATAAATAACCTTACCGACAGTTTGAAGAAATTCCAAAAACCCTCAACACACGCCAATTTCTCTCAAGTCAATGAGAGCAATATTTGCTTGTTGACCGCTTGAGGTTATCGGTGTCGACTGACCAAAAGATCAGCAGCTACAATGTCTTATTGCATGTTCATGTAACAATAGCAAACAGATGTGCCTGCGCCAGAGGCATCATGGGCCGGTTAGTGTCTGGTGTTTCAGTAAACGTGCAGGAAATATGACGGTACAGTTGATTCAGTCTGACAAATCGAAATTCGGTAACCTTTTCAATCCACTTTGAGCTTATCATGCCCAACAAAGTTAGCAAAAGTAACACCTTGCTGGTTTTTTTCGCTTCAAACCCTTCCGTGCTCCAACTTAAAAACCCCACATAACAAGTGACTTTCCCGTACCTAGGCCAGCAGGCTTTCAAATCCGTTTAATTTCTTTACACAGCGGAGATGTTTTGCGATAATTCACAACAAAACAGCCGACATCACGTTCTACTATAGGCCGTGCGCTTCTAAATCCTTTTTATTACAGGGAATCTAACTGCGACGTTTTTTGGCGATGTGTGGGAGAGATTGTAATGAGCGGAAGTTATTATCGGCCAAGAAGGAAACTATTACACGACCAGGCGTACAAGACGAACTGGACAATGTAGTGATATCCCTCAACTCGAAAAATTACATTGTAAGAGAACAGAGTACCTAAATGTTACGGAGTGAGTCACTAGAATTCATGCTTTTTTTTAACTTAAATTCAAACTCTTCCGTTCAACATTGCTCGGGATGATTTTGTTTGCGTCTTGGGTTCTTCACCAGGCGGGAAACTCACAGCTACAAAGATCACATTCTTCGCAGGATTTTCGATTTTTTTGCGCACAGTAAAAGGATTTCAGGATTTCGGTGTCGTTCTATGGAGTATTTCATTTCGTTCGTGGATACCACACGCGGTGTACCTAGCTTATATATGCTTAAAGGATCAAAACTGCTAACAGTACAAATACCCTTTGCGGTTAGGCGCATGCACAGACGCTGAAAGTGTACCTATTGAGATATGAGATACTATGTAACATTTTATCACGAACTAAGTAAACCGGCATCCAAGCAAAATTTTAGGAACTATATAGAATTGTTCAGTGCGTCAGAGACATGTTTCCGGCTACATTGTCTCCTTCTGCCCATTTCCTTCCGAATTTCTATGTCGCTCTCCTCACCTGATTCGCGCTAACACAACAGGAAGGGCATCTAATGGCCTTAAAGTTAAACGTCTACCGACAAATGGATGAATGGTGATTTCTAACATCAAATTAGGTTTTACAATGTATGAACATTAAAATTACATCCGACCAAATGCAGGCAACGAATGTTTTACTTTGACAGTCAATTTCTCCAGCTCCCCACCCCACTTGGTACAAACAACACCCTTGCAAAACTGAACAGAGTTTGTGTCAAGGGACCTGGGCAACGGTCGTATGTGGCGTGTTTACAACACGAATTTTTACCTGTCCATACCAGTTTTCGTGAAGTCTAGTAAATTATACAGCTAAGAAACACACTGACATGCTCGTGTGTATTATAGAGTTGGCAGCCGGAATCGCTCAAGTTTTTATTGAATAAAATCTGATAGGTGAGAATTGCATTGCCGGGGCCAAGTGAACTAACTGTCGGCAAGGGTTCTCTAACATATTGCAGTGAATAAACAAAGGCGTCCTTCAATTTCCATTTTTGTTACCCCTGTCGGTCTTTTTTGATGACTGAGCAGGACTTAAACTTTGTCTTATCAGCGTGATGCGCCCTAATCGACAATTTCCGATTTATGAAAATTCGTATTAAAATTCTAGGCTTAAGGAGATACATGTAAAATAAACTGAAAAGCTTCTCTGAGGTTTCTTCTTTCATTATCGTGTTCAGTTGTTTTTATCTGTTTATTTTTTCGCGAATTTTCTGAGTTGTATTTGGTTAATTACAAGTTCCGTGTAGATCAAAATGAGGCCTTTGTTGGTATTTTCACTCATAACTGCATGGAAACGAGGGGAACACCATCTTCATAAGAGGGAAAGGTCAAGAAAGGATGTCGTAGTGCCCTGCTTCTGTGCAAACTGGACATAATTCAAACTGCTCTCGCATTCCCTAGCGTTCTCTAAATTGCTACCAGTTCAATTCGCTATATATTTGTCCCGGCATCGTGTCAGGGTTTTCTGCGACCAAGACCAGTGATTACGTTGTACTGATAAGACCAAAGATGCAAGCTGTTAATTTAATGCGAATTTTGTTTTATTATTGTCCTAGAAGCACGCAGGCTCAGTCATCTTCTGACGTAACAGCTCTCATCTGTACGGCTATCACCTTAGTACGCCCTCGCTGTCCGAAAAACAAAACGAATTTTGGCTGTATTCCTACATTTAATATATTTCCGGAGCAAAAAATTAAAGTAATTGTGTGGCTGATAAGTCGATTGATTTCAGTGGAATGTGCGCGAACCGTTATAAAATATGGCATAATATACTTACAACCTCAAAGCGGGAAGGATAGTGGGTGACCGCAGACAAACTACGTGGTAAAATCTGCTGGAAACCGAGATAAGCAATTAATTATTAGAAGTCGTGCGGCGCGAAAATAATTTAACAAATTTGTTTCTAGCCTAGGTATTGACTGATGTTACATATTTCAGCCCTAAACCCAAAGCATCATGTTTTAATTTTGTTTGTTTTGGTGGTTCTAAGGACGACATCTGTAAAGGTTATAATTGTTGTTGTTTTTGTTGATGATTGTTTTTTATTCTGTTTACGGGGCAAAATACATGGTAGTAACCCAAATGAGCTATTATTTTGGCACTTTTTGCGATGTACAAAATCGCCTGAAAGTTCAAAGGAAAACTAAAGCAACTGAAATATCTTAAACAAGATGGAAAAGCATCAAATAAGAAGCAAAAATGGCCAAGCAATGTGTTGACCATTATTTTTTTGTTCTTGTTTTTCACATCTTATATGAATAGTTCAATGAGTTAAAGGCCGAGGACAGTTTTACTTCAAAGTACTGTTGAGTACCTTTACACGAATGGCTATTTTTGGTATTGATAGTAATTTTATGAAATCTTTGGGTATAAAACAACTCTAAACTACCTCACGATTTGCGAATCTTGAATAGTTTAGCCTAAATATTTCAAGTTCGTCGGTCGTAATCCGTGTTAATCCTCTCCATTCTTGTTTCTTTTTGGTTCGTTATTATCTCTTTCGTGTTTTTCTTTCGTTCAATTTACAGGTAGTTATGACTGAAAATAACGTGACTGGGCATGAGCACCATTAAAAAAGCCCCGGTACGACGACTGAGACCAGTTTTTTTTTTTTTTTTTTTTNATATAAAAAACTAACCAAGTGATTGCTTCGTTCGCTCGAGCGTTAATCATTGATCAATGAACTTTCTAGTGTTTTGCAGACTTTGTACTTTTGGTATTTTTTATTTCTGTTTACCTGATTAATTTTTTTTTTTTTTTTTTTTTTCGAGAACAAAGACTTCCTAAGCAGAACCTCGAACGATGAAATTTGATATCTTTCACGTATTGTCCAGATATAGGCGACCCAAAAAGGGCAAAAAGAGCAACTATTATCAAATGAGCCAAAGAGAAATGACTACTCAATATTTACCCGAAGACCTTGTCTGCGATCGGATCTTTCAGGACAAAGATAATGACTGCACTTGGCGCCAAAAAGTATTTGACTCCATTTTCTGCTGTCATCAGGAGCTTGTCTCAGTGTTCATGCCTCCACACAATGACATTTTACAACATTCGATATCTTAAGCGATGAGTCCATTAATTTGCGCCTTTGCACTAAAAAAAACACTGACATTCACGGAAATTTGGCAACGATTAGCCTTTTCGCAAACGTCGAGAAACCGTCTGCAGCCCTCACAAATTACAGGCACTACAAAGCTTCAAAGAAAAAAAAAACGCACATCGCTGGGGAAAGTAATGTAATGTGACTTCGCTACAGTATAAAGAGAACTTATAAGAGCTGTCTTATTACTGTGTTGAACTTGTACCCGGAGTTTCTATTTAAGTGCGTCAGTGGTATTCCCACTGAACGAAAGCCATTAATACATTGCTAGAAGATACGTGGTAACTGAAATTCAATGATTGAAAAGTACAGGAACATTTACAAAAATGTAATACATCATCGATTAACACGAACAAGGTATCTAAATCAAATGCCAGAACGTTCTACCTAAGACGCCCTCACAGTAGAACATTCCTCTATTGTTACATTTGTGACTCTGTACGGTTGATCCTTTAAACTTTTCTGGTTGTACAGCGTGAAGGCTATCCATCGCTATACAAACTGAATAAAAGTGAAACCGGCGGAGAAGATATACCAGAGGTCCCCCCGCTGCGAAACTGAAAACATGGTTTGGCTTCTTTACTTCCCACGCGTGCCGAGACAGCTTTTCGGAAATTCTGCTACTCACACTAGTGTCTTGTGGGCCGGAAATTTTACTGACACTTGCGCTGTCTTGCACGACGATGGAGTTTCCCGAAAACAGAAAAAAGACAAGAACTTCATCTCGCTATTTAATTGTTCGTTAAAACGGCTTGTATTACTTTTTATGGTGAATAGCTGTTTCCTCTATACGAGTTCGAGGAAATAGTGATGTGCACGTGATCTACCAAATTTCACAACATTACTTAACTTAAATTCAGAATATCAAAGCGGCCGCAAAATTCAATTTGACGCTTATCCCATGATACTATTAACTGATTTCACCATGATTGAAGATTGTGCATCAAAACGGCAATTGAAAACCATTTAAAAAGCCCATATCAAACTGAGCGATCAATACCGACAAAAGAAATATCACACTTGTTATTCCACGTAAACACGATGCCCGTCCTTGTTGATCGATTGGAGATACGTTTTTACGACTGAGTATCCAGGTTTTTCTTAAACACCGTAGGAGAAAAATTGTCGTTATTGCTGCTATTTGGTGGCAAGCGACGTCATCAACTACCAAGAAATTCCCGCACAGTGGAAATAGATCAGAAGTGGTTCTTGTTATCCGGTTATGAAATAAGTCTATTTAACTGTTCTACTTAGTTAAGTGTTTTCTGTTAAGATTTGACAACAGCATTTGGGCGTTAGATGTTCTCACACTGTTCTCGGCGTACGCTAAACGCCATGCGCTTAAAAGCAAAAATCTGATCAACGCGAGGGAGAGAGAAAAGGTTTAATTAACATATGATAGCACTAAAATGGTTCTTACCTTAAGTCTGTCTCCCTTAGCTGTGAGGCCGCGCCGAGAACGTGAATTCTCTTACGTGCTGCGGGCTTTGTGCTATGTTAAGTCAACAACTGAACTTGAGAATATATCTTTTTCGTGATCTAAATTCTCAGGGAAACATGTATCAGATTACAGTAGATGCTTGTGTTAAATAATACAGTCAATCAACAGTAGAGGAAAATCGGCTGGAGAAAATGGGATTTTCGGCTGACTTTCACCACTGATAAAACCCAATTAGCGGTGCAAACTATGCCATCTTCATCGAAGGAAGCAATCTTGAAATGCTTTCGTAACAGTGCGCCGCAGGAGAATCATATATAAACAGCTTAAAATCAACAGAGGTTGTCAAAAGAGCAGCTCATTTCCTGTTGAAGGATATGCGCATTTTCGTCAACCTCACCTCAGCACTATGACGATTTAAATATTTTTCATCAATTGCATTGAACACGCGTGTTGTGTCAACAGTGAAATCGGTAGAGCTTCTCACCGGGCGCACCCGATGGTTTTCCACAAACTTGACCTGACATTATGCGCATAAACACATTTTCAATACAGGACCCTTGTTTAAGTTTAGTAAGTAAAGTCTCTTATCTGAGTGTCTAAAACTTGAAATAAGCCATATTTTCATAGGATTTCTCTCCTTTAGAACTAACTTTGGACACCTTAGTAGCGGAGTTTCGCAACCAGCATGTTGAGGGAAAAAAAGCTAGTTTATTTAATTTGTTAGTCCTAGGAGATGAAAGGAAATCTATCTCCACTTGGCTGTTAAAAAAAGTCTGATTTATTACTTCTGGCAGAAGCTTCTTGCTTATTTCTCAGTCTTGGTAATTAGACAACAATCAACGGACCATTAATTCAGGAATTCCTTGATTCTGGTCTTTCTCAGCTGTCATGGGCTTTCGCAAGATTTATTTCATCACTAATAGTTTTCGACAACTAACACTTCACAAGACGGATCGTGTGCCATTCGTTCAGCACGAGACACAGGCAATTTATCAACGGCATTAGCGATTCAAAGCACGCCTACTCAGAGTGAGAAGACGCTGGTAATTACGGCGATTATGGACCTTGGATCTCACTTCTGTGGTGCTGTTGAATGAAACGCTAGAAGGTCTGTTCGTGATTGGCCGACAGTGCGTACGTGCAGAAATGACTGAACTTTATTTACGACTTGGGGATTAAGTCTGGTACCTTAGTGAGCACGAGCAGGGTCAGTCCCAGGGGGTGGGATACTCCGATATGTTGGCTATATAGGTATGTGCCTCGGGATAGGGTAGGGTTTTTTGAGGTTCTCGTTAAATAAGGTACCATTTTTACCGCTGTTGGTGTTGTGTTCCCAGTGTGATCCTTAGATAGGGTACCTAAATTGTATCAGCTAAAACTGCAGTGCGTAAATGCCCAGCTAAACGAAAAAATTTTAAGCTTAATGCTTAACTTCCAATGTTACAGAAACGAAATAGATTTGCCCCATTCTCGCCATTCTTCGTTTTTTTTTTCCTCTGAACAGGATGTCATTTTTCTGATTTGTGCCTTGAATAGAGTATCAATTTGCGTTTGCTTTGGGTCAGGGTTTAAGACCCTTCGCGGCCCACACCTATCCGAAATTTACGGGAGTAATCCCCCCGGGAAGTCGGTGAGGATTGGATGCACGGAGAAGTCGCGGAAATGTGATTACCTTACACCAAAGCGGTTTTGCGGGAAAAAAAATGTCCTTCATCACGTGAATCATTTCAGAAATTCTAGACCAAAGTTAGAAGTGATAGAATGAGAATTGCTTTAGCTTTGTGTTTGATCCTGCTCTTGCAGCGTTGAAAGGGTATATGAACAATTGTCTTTCAGTTGTTTTTCCCTGTATTCTGACCCAATTTAAACCTTCCTTTTCGAGAACGTGTTCCGAAGCCGATAGGTGTGGTAACAGAGAAGCTAGAGTTTAAGCGCGCCGTTTGAAATGGGTAATCCATCGCTTTCCATTATCATGTTACTTAACAAAAATCCACTGTTAAGCTAAGAGGCTTTCAACTATTAAAACTATTTCCATCAGGAATTTCAAAATACCGTAAACATTCCAGAACAAGCCCCCTTTTACCGAAAATATCCACCCCCAATTGAATAAGCTTTTCCACCTCGTCCCTAGATAAAGGCCCATATCAGCCCATACCCGTCATATTGAACGGTGGCTTTCTATCAACTTATTTCCTTCACAGAATACAA